CTGAGAAGTAGTCCATATAAATAAAAGCAGAGTCATAGGAGCTAGAGGTGAACCCGAAGTCATGAATGGTAGAACTGAACTTAGCAACACAAGCGTGTGGTGCTTGCTTGAGACCATAGAGGGCACGTTGTAGTTTGCAAACCTTATGAGTAGGATAAGTAGACCCAAGTGGAGGTTGCATGTAGACCTCCTCAAGAAGATTACCATTAAGGAAGGCATTCTTGACATCCATCTGAAAGAGCTCCCAGTGCCGAGCAGCAGCAACAACAAGCAAACTACGAACAGAGATAAGTCGAGCAACAGAGGAGAAGGTATCCTTATAATCAATGCCATATTCCTAGTTGAAACCCTTGGCAACAAGACGAGCTTTGTAGCTCTCGATAGAGCCATTAGAATGAATCTTGATTTTGTAGACCCATTTGTAGCCAATTACAGTCTTGCCAGGAGGAAGATCAACAACATCCCAAGTATGAGTTTTGTCCGAAGCCTGAAATTCATCAGTCATAGCTTGCTTCCAAAGAGGATTAGTACAAGCCTCACGATAGGAGGTAGGTTCATAAATACAAAAAGTAGCAAACCCAACAATATAATCACGAAGATGAATAGGTGATTGAGTTACCCGGTGCGGCCGGCCCGTGGAGGATCGGTAGGAGAGAGAGCTGGCGAAGAAGTAGGAGACAAATCAGAAGAGGCAAGGAGAGGCGGACCATCAGGGAGAACAGTCTGGCCGGGATCAGGGATCAACAAGGGCGTCTCGATAAAGGAGGAACCTGTATCAAAGTTATTAGAAAAGAGATCTAGGGAAGGATTAGTAAAGACGACCGGAGTGGAGAGTGCGGGTAAGTGAAATGAGAAGAGAGAGGAAAACATTTTGTGCTCCCAGAAAACTACATGCGGGAAGATACGAAGACGCTTAGAGAGAGAATCCCAACAGCGAAAGCCTTTATGTTCAATCACATATCCAAGAAAGCAGCAAAGACGAGAACGAGATTCAAGCTTGGTGTGTTCATGGGATTGAAGCAGAGCAAGCTGGTCCCAAACAGAATACATTTGAGACAGAAAGTCATTAAGTAGACTGACTGGATTCTGGGCACATGCGGTGAAGTTGGCTCTGAAGTTAATACTGATGGGCAAGACCGATAGTCTGGTATCGATCTCTCAAAAAAACCCAAATGTCTTTAGCAGGATTGGAAACAGAGTCAAGTTGAAAACGACCAAACTGAAGACTAATAGAGGGAACAGAAGTGTTCCGAAGCCATGTAATGATCTGGTAGTTTTTACTGTCCCAATCTTCGAGTCGGTCTGTATATGTGGCGGTGGATTCAGCGGTCTCTTTGACCGGTTTGGTCACATCCCCGGTGATAATACGCCAAAGTTTCTGTCCTTTAAGAAAGGAAGACATGACTTGGGCCCATAATACATAATTGGAACCATTAAGAAGAACATAAATTGGATGGGAGACATCATGGCGATCCATATTGAAAGTGGAATATGACTAAATATTTAGGAGCAGGCCTGTAGGAGCAAAATTTGGTAAAACAGAGCGTACTAGTGAGTTTGGAAGGTTGAAATTAGCTGGGAAAAGGACTGATGTGAAGAGATGATATCAGCAGAAGGGAAGTGATGTCAGTGGCGCACAATAGCAAGAAGGGCTCGCGGCGCACCGTAGCACGGAAGCAGAACGGCGCACGCGGGGCGCACAGAAGCAAAACGGCGCACGTGGGGCGCACAGAAGTAGATGTGGCGCACGCAAGCGCAGGGCTGATGTCAGATGCTGACGTGAGCAAGCAACGGAGGGGTGCGTGAGGGCATGTGTGAGAGTGGCGGCGGAAGCTGGGACGCGTCAAACACAGAGGCGGCACGTGATGGCGAGTCTAGTGATGGGGGTGGTGCCGTTAGAATCGTGAAGTGATTCCGAGCAAGATGGTGTAGTGCCACTGTGTACGGGACTAAACACCAAAAACAGAAAATGCCAGGAGTGGAGAACTGGGCTCTGATACCATGTAAGTTTGGTAGAGAGAGGGAGAGAGAGAGAGAGAGAGACTGAATGAAGTGTGTTGTATATTCAGTATATCAAATAGAAGCAAACTCACTCTCTTTTATAAAGAGGTGTGTTGTACATAGGATGTTGCACCACCGAAAACAGAAATAAAGAAATAATAAACATTATACGTTATGTTACAAATGAATGACAGCTAGCTATATTATATTTACACTAACAATACAAATTACGAAGACTTTTAAAATTATATCATATTATTCATTAGTATACTAATTAATATATTAATGGATACGTATAGTTTTATGCTTAAGTGAATAGCATTCCACACCCTCACAATTTTTATTTAGTTTTTTATTTGGAAAAATTGATTAATGATTTAAATTCATTATATATGTGGAGTGCATGCTGCAATATTATTGACAATATATAATTTTTTTGAAATGTCTTATTAATGAATAAAATTTAAATTGATTATATATTTTTATGATAGATTTTTTTTATAAAAAATTATTAATATTTTAAATTTCTTTAATAAAATTCTAAATGACAAAAAAGAAATAATTATGGGCACCTCCCCTGGAACATTCCAAATTAAATTTTCGACTTGGTGCAAAAAATTAAATATAGAAAAACAAATGAGAAAGTTGACTGGGGGAAAGTGCTTCCATGAACATAGACCAAGTCGTGGACCTCACGCAACGTTCCTAAACTTGGCCCCCAAGAAAATGGAATTGATTACTTTGATTACTTGCACGCATTCCAATTATCAAACTGCCCCTTCTTTCGGAAAAAATGACACACACCTCTAAAGCCTAATTTATTTGGTTGTTTAGGGTATATTATTACAATGGTTAACAAATATTTTTTTAATCACAAGTTCGGATTGAGAAACTTGAGGTTAAATATAATATATTCATAAAAAAATATTTAAAAAATTATACATGATTTAAAATGTACAGATTAAATTTATTCTAAGTGTGATATTATATTTCCATCTTACCATCTACACATTTTCTTAGCAATTTTTATGATAAAAATTATGAGTTCCAGACTTTTCTCAAAGATATAAGGGATTGAGTTGGATTTGAACTCCCAACTAATCTTTTAATTTCTTTTTAGCTTAGTCTAAGCATTATAATTAATTTACAAAATTTAAAAAATAAAAAAGAAAAAGAAAAAGAAAAGAAAAATGCTAGAGGTCCCAAATTTTCGACCAAATAAATGAGTAAATGTCTCACATGGGTATGGGGGTCCACAAAATTGCAGACCCCACACCCATGTCAGACATTTGGTCATTTGTTTGGTAAAAAATTTGATATCCCTAGCATTACCCAAAAAAAAAAGAAGGGAACATCAAAAAAATCACTTGATTTGTGGTTTGAGTTTCATATTTTGCTAATTGATTGTTGACCTTATGAAAATGACAATATAATATGTTATTTTCTTGGATTTATGTTAATAATTTGGTAATCTGGATTTGAGACATTTTAGTAATTTTATAAATCTCTAGAATACACTAGAGAAGTTCATAAATAAAGTTTCCATCAGAAGTAACCAAAACGATTTTAATGACCAAATTTAGAAGAACAATTCCTCTTCTGCTTTGTAAGGTTAGGACGTTTTTACCAATTCATAAAAAAATAAAAAATAAGCTGGCCGAAGCGTTAGTCAAATTGTCTACATCATCACATTAGGCTGATAACTCCACCGCCTTGCCAACCAACCTCATGCGCATCACATTTTTTTTTTAACAGATTCATCCACATCATATGAGTTTAACTTAGGCCTTGTTTGGCATAAATCAAAAAAAATTAAAAAATTAAAAAATTATTATCTTATTTAAGTCATATTACATCTTTACTATATCACTTCAAATTCAACCTATACTCAATTCATATTTCATAAAAGTTAAAAAGTACACTTATTTAGATCATCTCAAACAACTCCTTAATCACACATATGGTTAATACCACATATGCGCATACATACACAACACATAAATCAAACCATCCCCTAAACCTTCAAAATAAGCATTTTGGCCTATTTTGATGAATAGGTTAAAAGTTAATTTTTTAACATTTCTTTAAAAAAAATAAAAAAGTACAAAAAAAATAAAAAAGTGATATAATTAAAAAAAATTAAAAAATCAAAAACTAACTTTTGACCTAAATGCCAAAATAGGCCTAAGGGTTGGGCTGACCCTGGGATATTTTAGTCATTTTCTAAGTCTCTACACTCATTTTCCACGAAAATAAATAAACAACACTAGACATTATAAGCAGCCCATTAAAGTTTACCACCAAATCAAACATAATTCAAAAGAGTACATGACCAATTTAAAAAAGTCTCTTCTGGAGTAGGGATTTGTTTATGTTTTTAATCTCTTTCGAGTCATATCATTTCTTTAATTTTTTACATATTTTTTTTTACAAAAAAATATAATTTTTAATTTACTTCCCAAAATAACCAATAATCATAATTTTTATATAAAATTTTCATAAAAAATAATATAATTTATTATGATCCTTTTATTTTTAATAAAAACACTCATAATAATTAGGAAAATGTTTGAGGGCCACTATTTTTGTGGCCACAATGACTCAAAACTGTCAAAACGACGTCGTTTTGGGTGTAAAACATGCCAAAACGACGTCGTTTTGGTAGTTTTGAGCCATTGTGGCCACAAAAATTGTGCCCTCTAGCATTGTTGTAATAATTATCCTTATAATTTGATAGATGTCATATCATGAATTATGCATACAAATTTTATAAGCATACCATTTTTCAATTTAAAAAGAACTTGTACCTTAATATCAAAAAAATTAAAAATTTTAATATAATTTTATATATTTCTATACAATTATTACATTTTTGAGTGGCCCAACCATACAGGCCTAACCAATGTCATGCACATGTGGCTAACCACACATCTAACCATGGTTAATACCATATGGGCAAACATGACCCACCACACAGCATAAATAAAACCTCGCTTAAACCCTACAAAACCCAAAAAACAAACCACAATACAGAGCACACACAAACAAAGCTTTTCTTGGAAAAAAAAATTTCATACCAAACTTCTCGCGTTTCCTGAATTTCGATCTCCTTTTTTTGGGTTTGACGAACCAGCGACGATGATGAGTCGCCGTGCGACTAGGGTGGTCCGGTCTGTGTTGGTGGGTCATGCGGCTCCGAGGTTGTTCTTCTCCACGGCGGCGAGAGAGTTGGCCGCCACCGCCTCCGCTGGATTCTTTCATGTGAATCAGGGTAAGGGGGCGGAGAGGATGTGGGTCAGATTTCCGGTGATGGGTGTGAGGAATTGTAGTACGGTGGCTTTGGATGAGAAGAAGAAAACGGAGGAGAAGCAGGTGGAGATGGGCTCGGCCGGTGGTGTCAGCGGCGGCGATAAGGCGATAGTGAGTTACTGGGGCGTTTCGCCGGCGAAGGTTACCAAGGAGGATGGTACCGAGTGGCGCTGGACCTGCTTTAAGGTAAGCATTCGTTTTGATAGTACTAGTAGTAGTATATCATTTTCATTGTTGTGATACAAGTTTTTAGGTAAATTTAAGCTTTGAATTCTTATTTTGCTAGACATGTGATCCCACATATCTCAAATTTACTTAGGTTATGAGTTTAAAAATAAATAAATAAATAAATAAAGGTATTCATTTTATTTGATTAAGTTTTCAAATTTTATTTTTATTAAAAATTAGAATTATTTTGAAAAAATAAACACCAAAAAAAAATTTTAATTAAAAAAAAATTGGCCCAAAAAAAAAAAAAACTCATGAATGAAAATGATGAGAACTATTTTTTTTGGAAAAAATATATATATATATTTTTTTTTGAAAACTCAATCAACCGAACAAGATGTATTATTTAATTTTTTTTTTAAGATTTTCACTACACATTTTAATGGCTATATTTTATTAATTTGTCACCTTTCTATTTTCATTTGAATTCTTCTCTAACTTTTCACCTTTTAATTGCAACAAATAAGTCTTCAAAGTTCAGGTTTCAGTTTGATTCTTCTATCACCCCACCCCATCATTTAACAATTTAAGTGAAAGTTGAAACATAATGGACTGAAATGAAACCTTGAGTGAAAAGTGTAATTAGACTTGATAATTTTATTTATAGATAGTTTTTATTTATTTTTGAAACCTGCAAACAATTTTCTATCACCAAAACATTCTCTAAAATTCCTGTATATTCTCACAAAAAAATTTGAGGAGGCACGCTTTTATTGTTTAAAGTTTTAGTTTTAAATTTTTATATATACATATATATAAATCTTATGTTAAGGCCTTCCCAAACTTAATTTGGCCACTTTAAATATATGAGATTATTTTGTTCATACGTATTTAATGTCACTTGTTAATAAAAAAAAAAAAACTACAACTAAATTTAAATGAAGATCCCTTATTTCTTACCACCACAGGGCCTCTTTTGAGTTGTTATGTAACCAAATATGTGGATTTAATTTGATGGTGTTATTTACATGGGTGTTGATGTTGGGTTTTTAATGGAATTGATGGAAGCCATGGGAGACCTACAAGGCGGACCTGTCAATTGATCTGAAGAAGCACCATGTCCCTGTAACGTTCTTGGACAAAGTTGCTTTTTGGACCGTGAAGTCTCTTAGATACCCTACCGATATATTTTTTCAGGTATGTAAGATAATGCAATAAATTCTCTCAATTTATTATTTGTTTTCTGTAGTAGATATGTCTTTACAGGATTGTTAATATTATGATTTGTCTAGAAGTGAAGAAAAAAAAGAGTATTTATTTAAGCCAAAAAACTAGGCCTACTTTCTAAACACATCACTGGCTCTAAAATGTGGACTTGTTTACTATTTTTTCAGAAAAAAAAAAAAAATTCACTATATTTGGTTCCATTTTTTTGAAATTTTTTTTCAAGAAGTGATTTGAAAACTCTATTTTGGAAAAAAAATCTTTGTTTGGTTTTCAAAAAGATGCATCATTGCAATTTCAAATTTCCCTCAAATTTAAAAAGAGAGACAATTTTTAAAAAAAAATTTGTCACATCAAAAAATACTCTCATTTTAATTATATATATATATATGTACATGCTATATATGTATGAAAGCATAATTTGGTATATATCTATTTATGAGTACATATTCTACCATTAACTGTGTGACTTTATCATTCCACTCATTTCAATCACAAAAAACGTAATTTTTTTTTCCAAATTGGCATTAAAAATTTCTTTCGTAGAATTAAATTTTCATAAATGTTTTACAGAAAATTTATTTACAAATTTAATTTAAAAAAATCGAAATTTTTGGAAATTTATTTACAAATTTTCAGAAAATGTAAATTTATTTACAAATTTTTAGAAAACATAATTTTTTTTTTTTTTTTTTTATTTACAAATTTTCAGAAAACTTAATTTTTTTTTTTTTACAAATTGGCATTAAAAAAAAATTGAAACTTTATGTTTAAATATATTTACAAAATCATAAATTTATGTTTAAATTTACGATTTACAAAATTTTCTGCATAACATTTATGAAAATTTAATTCTATGAAGGAAATTTTTTAATGACAATTTGGAAAAATTTAATTCTTTAGTTGAAATAAGTGGAAATTTTATGATAAAATCACACATTTAATCGTAAGATATGTAACCATAAATGGCTACATATCAAATTATGTTTTCATACATATATAGTATGTACATATATATATATATATATACAAGATGAAAGTACCTTTTCATGTGACAATTTTTTTTTTCAAAATTGTCTCTCTCCTTAAATTGGAGAGAAACTTCAATTTGAAAAGTCCTCAACATATATATATTCAAAATTGTCTCTCTCCTTAAATTCCTCAACATATCATTTTGAAAAGTGAACTCAATTTTCGGAATAACCAAACAAATACTCTAAAATTTTCAAAAAATTGAGTTTGAAAAACAACCACCAAACATAGTGATTATTTTTTTTTTTTTTAAAGAAGGATCAGAATTTGTGATCTAAATATGTGCACTGTATAAAACAGAGACGATATGGATGTCGTGCAATGATGCTAGAAACTGTGGCTGCTGTCCCCGGCATGGTTGGAGGGATGCTATTGCACTGCAAGTCATTGAGGCGGTTTGAGCACAGCGGTGGTTGGATCAAGACATTGTTGGATGAAGCAGAAAACGAACGGATGCACCTCATGACCTTCATGGAGGTAGCCAAGCCTCGATGGTACGAGCGTGCCCTTGTCTTCACAGTCCAGGGGGTTTTCTTCAATGCTTACTTCTTGGCATACCTCATTTCACCAAAACTGGCTCACCGTGTGGTTGGGTACTTGGAAGAGGAGGCAATTCATTCCTACACCGAGTTCCTGAAGGAGTTGGACGAGGGGAACATTGAGAATGTCCCAGCTCCGGCAATCGCCATTGATTACTGGCAGCTGCCACCTAACTCCACTCTCCGTGATGTGGTCATGGTTGTAAGAGCAGACGAGGCTCATCACCGTGATGTTAACCACTTTGCATCAGTAATAATCTTCTCCTTTTTGGCATATGCTTCTCTTCAATGACTGGATTGTCCAACCCTTGTGGGAGAAAGCACTGGATTAGACCGTTTGGTTACTGGAGAGAAGCTAAACCTTGCATTTTTCATGTTCTTATGCTTAGTTTAGATAGCAATTAATGGTTTATTGGATTGAATTGCAGGACATACACTATCAAGGACACGAACTGAAGGAAGCTCCAGCCCCGCTTGGGTATCACTGAAGGATCAGAAATCCGATTAATGAAGGACGTGTTGAGCTGTGATACTATAAAGTTCAAAAGTATCTTTCTTCAATCCATATTAATAAGACACAATGAAGTTTGTTGTGTAGACATATTGGTGTCCATATTTTCATGTGCCTGCTTCTGAACTTTTGCCTCTGTTCTCTTCTTGGAGTTCATAATCATAGGTGATAATGTAGTTCATTAATACAAGCTATCTCCTTGTGAATGGTATACTTGAAGCTCCTCTCTCTCTCTCTCTCTCTCTGTGTAAGAGTGGCACACACTACATGCGTGAGCTAAATTCAACAATTGTTTGTGTAGCAAACATGGGTTGTATAGTATTTAGCGAATTTGATGTGGGTTTGATCTTAATTGAACTGTAAGTATGGTTTGTTTACATATTTACCCTTTTGGTGGATGAGTAAAACCGTGGTAGAGAAGGCTTACCCTTTTTTCTTTTTCATGGCCGTAAGTTGTGTAATCTAATTAAAGTACCAAGTTTTGTATAGATCCTCAAGCTTTTGTTGTGCTAATGGTGTGATTTCAGGTGAACTACACTGAACTCCAATAAAGAATTTGCTTTAGGCAATCTGCAGACTTGTAAATCCAGTTTGTTGCAATTATCATCTGAAATTGTTGTAGAGTTAGTAGGGATGTCGGTGACGATCTCTGTTTTGAGAGAGAACAGAGGGAGGGAAAGAAATAATATTGTGAGAGAATGGTAAAGCTAGTTAGGGCTTGAGCAGTGATCTCCACGAAACAGAGAGGGAGAGAATTTTAGAGATTTTTTTTTTGCTACAACATTCATGTATATATTGTATGAGTAATATCTTGTTATCTATGCTTTTATTTTTCATTAATGATGTGTGGCATGTACATAAGAGCATAGATAAAAGGTATTACTAATACAATATTGTTACCAGCTGTCCCTAGCCAGTTGGTTCTGCATGAAAAATAATTTGAAATATCAATACATCAAAACAGCTCAATCCAATTAATTAAACAACAACATGCAATAAAAATTTGACACAAACTTGTAACAAACATATAACATAAGAACCTTGGAAATTGCAGATGCAGCTAAAGTGAGGAACGGGGGAATACTCAACAAGAAGTTAAGGTGGGCAACTAGTAATTGGTTGAAGTGAGAATGTGACTGGATTCCTCCCCTGTGATCTGGAGTTACAAATATAATACCGTAGGTCCTCATCGCAAGATACTGAAATCCAATCATTGTCATCATCTTGATACTTGACATTGTAAGTTCCAGCCATCCAGTTCAACCTCTTTGTCACTTCTTGTTGAAACTCTACCATTCCCGACAGCACAGGTAGCTGAAACTTAATAAAATACTCTCCATATTTTGCCTTTATATTTACAGTACTTGTATCTTGCGCTTCCATAAAATACGGCTTTGTAAGAGCAGCAATAGCCAAGTCTTGCTTATGAGGTGGATCAGAAAATGGGGATTGACTAGATTCTCGGATCTGACCCTCAGCAGCACCTTGGACAATTTTTTTGGAAAGAGAGCCGTTATCCTTGGTTCTCTTTCTAGGTGACCACCATGATATATTATATTCCCGGCAGACGCGTTTCAATGTAGATCGACTAACTACAAAATGAACAATCCAAATCCAAATAATCCAAGTAGAAGAAAAAAAATTAAAAAAATATATATATACTTTTTGTTTGCTACTGCCAACAAAAGTAATTGATTTTTCCCCAAGTACATAAACTTACCACCAAGGCTTTCTGCAGCATCATCAAGTTTCATTCCAAAACGTTTTTGGATGTCCTCGAAACTAATTGGAATTCCAGCTTTTCTGCATTGTCTTTTGGACGGATGAGTTATGCATTTTTGCTGTGAGGAAGTTGCAGCAGCAATCTTGTTTATTTCTGTGCTATTAAAAACGTTGTTTCCAGTGTCTATAGCATCCACTTGTAGTAATTGTTGATATGATGCCAACTCCCCTCCATTCTCTATCCGATCTGGAGATCTTGCAATTTGGGGTATTTGATGAGTTATGCATTTTTGCCATGAGGAGGTTGCAGCAGCAATGTTTATTTCTGTGTTACTAAAAACATTGTTTCCAATGTCTATAGCATCCACTTGTAGCCATTGTTGATATGATAAACCTAGGCACACCACCTCCAATCCATTCTCTATCCCATCTGGAGATCTTGCAATTTGGGGTATTTGAAAATGATCGAGTTTATCATCCTTTGAAAAATCAATAACTTCAACAGATAATGCATCTCCTAGTTCTTCTCCTGAAGCAACCTTAAAACTTTTTAAATGGTGCCTCATCGTTGCTACTAACAAAAACAAGATGAACCTCGGATCCCCACCACCTTCAGTGTAGCTTGGGGGCAAAAAGAATTCTAGCACGATGACATTGTCTCCAGTATAACTTTCTTGCAAGCAAATTGCAAAACAACCCGTGAAGCTACACTCACGTGCGTAGTGTGCCAAGGGATACTCAGTTATGTTGAACTGAGTAATATCTTTGCAGAAGACCAAATTATGAGATGCAAATGCCCTCCCAACAACCCCCTGTCCCTTTTGTAGCGTATGCAAAGAACATGCATGTGAGAAATGAAACTTATCTTTGTCCATATGAAAACATGTATCCCTTTCAGACACCAGATGTTCCCTGCAGCTTACATTAAAGCTACCACCGATGCCTATAGGATGGCAAAGCCTGCACAGGATCCAAATCTGAGCCAAAGGTAGATAATGTGTTCTACACACCAGTTCCAACACCTCTTTCACTTCAACCAGTGCAGCTTCAAAAGCTTCATCCTTGTACAGGGTCTAGTTTTCAAATTATTGTCACAAATAAGATAGATATTCGTGAGACCAAAGTCCCTACAAAATCTAATAATAAAGAAAGATTTGACATGTATTTGAAATCATAGTATAGTGTGGCACTCACTGGCTTATAACACAATTGCTTACATGTTTCTGGATATTTCAGGTCTACAAACTGCAGGGGAATTGAAACCAATGTAATTGAAAAATCTTGACAGATTTGCAATTGGAAGATATTTGCAAATTGCAACAAGCATTTAAATATTGCATAATCTAAATGAAAGAAAAAATAACAAAAATCAGCACAGTTGTGGATGATATTAACAAACCAACTTAGGTTGCCTTGCCACCATGGTAATTATAATTGTCCAAAATCAACTTGGGTGCTAGGGGCGGCTCAACCATGAAGTGACCAAAGTGGTCGCTTTAGGCCCCGTCTTTAGAAGGTCCCAAGTTTTCACTCTTTTTGTCTAAGGCTTAGAAAAATATACTCCTTATTTAAAATTTCATTAAAAAAAATGTTCTCATGGAGATCTAAAAAGAAAAAACAAAATGGGTAATGATGTATAAGCAGAATTTCTTATATAAAATTTAATGTCATTTCTGGTGGTTCTTCATATTTAATGAAAACACTGGCCATTGTTTTCATAATTTCACAAATGCTATATTTGCCACATCATTCTTTTCATAATTCTGTATTAAAATCCTATAAGCATATCATGTTTTCAAAAAATCTCATTGTCAAAAGCCCTCAATCATAAACACTAAAAGCACATTTCTAATCAAAGGCCCCCCTAATAAACCTCTTTGTCTAAGGCCAATAAAAAATTCTTCTTGAAAAAAGACCCCAAAGGGTTACGAAAACTGCAATTAGGGCTTCACTCTTTTTCTCTCGATCTGTGTTCTTATCTCTCTTCTCTCACTCTCACTCTTGATCGTTCTCTGTCTCTCTCTCCTCTCACTCTCGATCAACTTCATCTCTCTTCTCTCTGTTTCGATCAACTTCGTCTCTCCCTTCTCTTTGTTTTCTTCTCTCCCTTCTCTCTGTTTTCTTCTCTCACTCTTGATCCGTCTTCTCTTCTCTCTTTTCTTCTCTCTCTCTTATTTTTAATTGGTATTTATCATATATAATATAATTTATCACAAATAATATATAATGTAAATTATATCATAAATAATATAATGAGAGCAATTCCTTTTGTCTTTCAAGAAAAAGGTGTACTGGCTCTTGAAAGTTGTCACCAACAAGCTAATAAACTTTCACTTTTTCACCTACCAGTCAAAAGTCAAAACAGCTAGCATTCACCTACCAATTATATAATAATAAATCTAATTAAATCATATATAATAAAAAATAAAATCTAATAAAATCTATAATTGGCCAACAAATCTTTTAATACCATGGGTTGTTATGTAACTAATTTATATTTTTGTTATTTATAATATATATGTCAATTAAAAGTAAAAAAATAAATTATATAGATAAATTAACAATATTATCAATACAAATAATAAATATATTTAAAAAATAATATTTAACTCATCTTTATATAATAAATATATTTAAAAAATTAAATATTTAATGTATCCCTATTTGGATCCATATCCAGATATCCTCAATTTTTAGTTTTAAAATGTCCGATCCCTAGATATCCACCATCACTCAATACTCACATCCGAGTCCGTGTAACGTAACCAACATCACACCTACATCGGGGCCGAAACTAAGGTTTCAACGTACTCTAGACATAAGAAGTAGGTATGACACTCCAATAATCCGTTATGGGGTAGAGTTGAACTCAGGCGTTAAGCACGGTGGACAAGCTCATTACCACTGTCAAACCATGAGAATTGTTGTTAAAAAATTCATGTTAAATGATTACACAATAAAATTAGGGAAGGGCAAGAGCAAGATTAACTGACCACAAGGTCTCATTGTTTAAGAGTAATGTTATTATATAAATAGAATTTTTATACGGAGAATTTTTTATGCATAATAATATGATATTTTGTAATGTTTTCATTTCAAACAAAAATACCTATTATTGAGATTTATAATTATAAAAATATTATTGCTAACAATATAAAACCACTTAAGGAGGAAAAAAAACTCATAAACATAGAATAGACTGAAAAATCATTCAGGAGTAAAATTGAATCACTGAGACCAAAAAAAAAAACCCTTAATATTAGATCAAATTATTTTTATTTTATGTATACCACGGTCGACTCTTCCCCTACCAAAAAAAGGTGAAAACCCATTTGACAAAACTACCCAAAGTAGTCATTTTTTTACAATATTTTATCCATTTTACGAAAATAAGAAAACACAAAAAGCCCATTTAACAGAACTACCAAAACTGTCACTTTTAACTACGTATGTATAGAATTGAGAAAACATTGACCCTTGAATCCAAACACATTTATTATAAGAAACCGCTTTACCCACCAAGTAACTCCTGACTTCACAAAGATTGAACCCAAATAAAAATAGCTAAAAGATAAGTAGATGATATAGAAGAATTACATGGGATTTTTTGTTTTTTTGACACATTGACCCTTGAATCCAAACATCATTTACTATAAGAAATCACTTTATCCACCAGGTAACTCCTGACTTGATAAAGATTGAACCCAAATAAAAATAGCTAAAAGATAAGTACATGATATGGAAGAATTACATGGGATTTTTTGTGTTTTTGACACGACCCATTGTTTGAAATCTGAATGTTTGTGTTGATTCTTGGGTCTTGCAGAGCAGTGAGAGATTTTATTATACACAGATATATGCCTCTGTTTGGCAAGTTAGTTTTCAGACTTTTTTGGCTATTTTAGCCACAAAAAACAAAATAGGCTATTTTAGCCATAACAAACAAAACATCACATCCAACCCATAATTATTACATTCTTCTCTCATAAAAAAAGTCAAAAAAGTCAAAAAGTCAAAAAGCCCTTCCCAAACCAAGCTTTTTAGCCCAGGCTAAAATAGCCAAAAAAGCCAAAAAGCCAACCCACTTCCCAAACCAAGCCATAGTAGATTAAATCATCCATGGTAGGTTGGATCAATTTCAAATCTAGAACAATGTTTGAATTTTTTTATTTAATATTTTTAAAGTTGATAGTTTAAAAAAATAATTGTTTTTTCATAATTTAGGGGTTGTTTGTGATGACCTAAATAAGTGCACTTTTTATCTTTTTACGAAAAGATATGCAAAAAAGTAGAGAGGTGATGTGATGAAAAAAGATAAAAAGATGAATTATTTGAAATATGTCAAACTTGACCTTAAAGTTTTAAAATAAATTTTACAGATATAGCAAACATTCCAACTGATGTAATAATATATAAAATTAAAATACTAAATTCTTTCTCAAAATGCATACATTATTTATGAAATATTATTAATTAATAATAAATATAATTGTTCCTTCCGCATAGAAAAAAAACAAAGATCAAACGTAAAATTGACTATCTCACTAGAAAAATTAAATGTATAAAGAATATGTGTTAACAAATTTGAATATAAAGATTTAATTAATATTTTTTAACCTTAAAAAGCCAGAAAGGTAAACAATCTTGGGCTGACCCTAATGGACCATTAAATGAATTGATTAGTAAAATGGAACCAAAACATAAGCGAGGAGACTTATCAAAATAATAAAATATTGACACATAAAGTGATAAACATAATATCATAAAAATATATGTTATCCTAGCATTATTAAGAGCATCTCCAACAGTGTACCAAATGTTTCACCAAACTGAGTCAAAAAGAGGTCATTTCCTTAATTTGATACTTCGCGCTCCAACGGTTCAACATCAAATCTGTTTCATCAAATTTGCGCTGGGCAACCGGTTGGTTGACCGGCCGGTCAACCGGTAACGGCAAATTTTTTTTTTTTTTTTTTTTTTTTACCGGTTTGAACCTTTTTTTTTTTGAACTTTTTGAACTTTTGGTGGTCGACCACCTAGGCAAAATTTTTTTTTTTTTTTTTTTTTTTGACTGGTTTCAACCTTTTTGTGAACTGTCTGAACTTTCTCCGGGGCGACCGGTTGGTTAACCGGTTGGTCAACCGGATGGTCGACCCGTTCGTCTCATCCCAACGGTTAGGAACAGTAATTTGGTGAAATGCTTCGTCTGCACTCAGTTTGGTATCATTTTTGCTGAATTCTGGATTTGATATCGATTTGGTGAAAACGTTGGAACTTAAAAAAGTGACTTTTTCACCAAATTTTAAATTTGATGCCAGGTTTGGTTCACCGTTGGAGATGGTCTAATAGTTTGATCTCCATCAAAACAAATAATAATAATAATAATAATAATAGAAATCATCATTGAAAATTCAAATAAATATTCATTGAATAGGCAAGAGAGAGAGAGAATAAATAAATACTAAATAAAAAAAATTAAAAAAAATGAAGCAGATTTACTCCATCCAGTCCACGAAAATCTGCCGCCTATAAAAACAGAGATTGAACATAACTGCAATTAGGGAATTAGCGACAAACCGTAAAGTCTTTGCGCATCCAGTTTTTAATTTCACGCAAGTAATAATTTCCTTTGGCGGCGGTAACAATCTCAAGTACACCAACACAAGGCTGTCCTCCAGAACGCTCAAACACGGGCAAAGTCAAAGCTCCCGAAATATTGTTAACGATTGCTTGATTACGCTGTGGATACTCTTTGCATGAGTAATACCCAATATTTGGAGTAGACTCTGGCTGTTGATGCCGGAACACACGGCCAAGTAGACCAAGCTCGTCTTCATCGGTCGCCCCCACATCCACGCAAAATTCATAACCCAGAGATACCAACCTGTACGAACAAAGTCCAGCATGTTCAATTGTAGAAACACCAAAAGGTTGGTCTCGAGTTGTAAGTAAACGCCTTCCTCCAATTTCTATGGCTTTCCAAAACTGAACTAGAAACTCTCCAGGCGAGAATACCATCCATTTTATTACGGATTTTATCTTCTCTACAAGATCCCGGTTAGCAGCAACCGATGTATCTAATTCCAAATCGATTATCTCCACTGTATGAATGATTTTTTTTCAAAATTTTCCATCCAAAACAAAACAAACAGTAAGAAAATTGAGGATATTGGAGAAAAATCAGACCAGTAATAGGAACTGAGATAGGAACTCACAGGAGAAGGGAGCCGGAGGAGGAGGAGGAGGTTCGCAACAGTCATCTTCTTGATTCGAAAAAACCCAGCCTCTGTTAAAGTATCCACGTTGGCAGAGCAGTTGGTTCTTCTTCACATACATTTTGAAATGGGCAGGGAAATCACCGAACATATTATCATCCGTAGGGTATTTTGTCCAGAGGAACTGTTGGTGGTTCTCGGCCATCGTCCCACTCATATAAGAGGATATCCCCAGATCCTCTTATATAATAGTCCGGACCCTCGGTAGGATGCTAAGAGTGATTTTGTTAATGGATCGAATCTATTTAGAAAATTATATGTAGTCTATTTTTTATAATGCATGAGTGATATTATTAGTTGGTAATTACAGAAAATATGAGAAATTATTAATTTTTATATCTTAGTTGATTGTTATATCATTAAATTTGAAAATTAAATCTAATTTTTAATCTTGAATAATAATACTCAATTTATTTTAAAGTGATTATTAGGTTTTTTTTAAAACATTATAAAAAAAAGCTAACTTATTAAATTATTAACTTATTTAAGTGACATTGCTTATCTATTTTTTTCACACACTTTAAAAGAAAAAAATTAATCACTTTTTTTTTTTTAAATAATGCTTGAGGCCTCGAATTCAAAATCTCGAATTTGTCTCGGATTCCATTTTTTTTTTTTAAAAAAAAAAATTCCTCTCTTTTATTTTCCTTTCTTTTTGCAAGGGTGGTTATGTGTAGGGATGTGTTAAAAAATTAGATATCGCGCACTAACTCAGCCTGTATGATTTGATAAAGTGAGTGAGTTGGGTTAGACTGGTTGGGTGATAAAATTGACTGATCAGTTAGGTTGCTAATTAAAATTTGTTATTCCATAATTTTTTTTAAATATTTTTTATTTTATTTGTTGGGCTATGTTGGTTTGTTTTTTGTTTTTGTTTTTTTTTTTTTTTTTTAAGTAGTTATGTGTAGGAGTGTGCAAAAAAACTAGATATCCTGTACTAACTCGTTGTACAAAATTATATAAATTTAACAAATTTCAACCAGTAACCTAACTGATCAGTCAATTAAGTTGAACTAGTTGCGTGATAAAATTAACTGATCAATTAGACTCTTGGTTAAATTTTGTTAATTTCATATAATTTTGTATGATAAGTTAGTGTTTGATGTCTAATTTTTTAACACATCTCTACACATAATCACCCTTAAAAATAAAAATAAAAATAAATACTAACAACCTTAAAAAAAAAAATAAAGAAATTCGAGACAAATTGGAGGGCTTGAATTTAAGACCTCTAGCACTGCCTTTTTTTTTTTTATTATTTTTAGAAAAATGCTTGGGAGCACTAATTAGTGCTCCCACTAATTAGGTGGCAGTGGGTCCCGCCATTAATGATGTGATGTTTTGGTCTTGGAGTTGTATTTTTTTTTATTTTTTTTTACTTTTTTAATGCATTAGTGCTATTAGTAGTGATATTTTTAGTGGGATAAATCATTGCTGTTATTTTTAACTCTAAAAGCAAACTTTTATACTATTAGTTATCCAAAAAAAAAAAAAAAACTTTCCTCTCTTTCATTTTCCTTTCTTTTTGCAAGGGTGGTTATGTGTAAGGATGTGTTAAAAAACTAGATATCGCGCATTAACTCAGCCTGTATGGTTTGATAAAGTGAGTGAGTTGGGTTAGACTGGTTGTGTGATAAAATTGACTGATCAGTTAGGTTGCTAATTAAAATTTGTTATTCCATAATTTTTTTTAATTTTTTTTGTTGGGCTGTGTTGGTTTGTTTTTTGTTTTTGTTTTTTTTTTTTTAAGTAGTTATGTGTAGGAGTGTGCAAAAAAACTAGATATCTTGCACTAACCCGTTGTACAAAATTATATAGAATTAACAAATTTCAACCAGTAACCTAACTGATCAGTCAATTAGGTTGAACTGGTTGAGTGATAAAATTAACTGATCAATTAGACTCTTGGTTAAATTTTGTTAATTTCATATAATTTCGTATGATAAGTTAGTGTTTGATGTCTAATTTTTTAATACATCTCTACACATAATCACCCTTAAAAATAAAAATAAAAATAAGAATAAACACTAACACAACCTTTAAAAAAAAAAAAAAGAAACTCGAGACAAAATTGGAGGGCTCGAATTTAAGACCTCTAGCACTGCCTCTTTTTTTTTTTAATTCTCAAAGCAAACTTTTATACTATTAGCTTATCAAAAACAAAAACTTTTGTTCTATTCTCAATTTTTGTAATCATTCAAAATTGCTCTACCTTATTATTATCATCCGTTTAGTTGCCTAGATTTTGAGCACAAGAAGGCGGGACCAGCTTAGTTGCCTAGATGGACCCCCAAACAAAACAAATCAATAATTTTAAACTAGTCGGTTTATTTTGAGTTAACTTTTTGAAAAAGGAAACGGTTCAAGTGGTTTAATTTTTTCAATACCTACCCTGCATGTGTCGGCGAGAGTGTGGTGCAAACTAATGGGTTCACAAAAACAAATACAAAAAGAAGCTTTATAATGGCACATGTGGACCCTATTGGAAGGAGTGGGGGAATCTGGATGATTTGGAACCCTAGTGTTGCGAATGAAGAGTCACTGAGGCAAGTTCCCAACTAATAACTGCTAGAATATCTAGGCAAAATTACCATGATTGTATACTGTCAACTGCCTATGCAAGTCCTAGCGTCAACAAGAAAGCTGAACTTGGCAAAATCTTGAAAATATTGCCCAAACCATGTCTAAGCCTTGGCTTTTAGCTGAGGATTTCAATGACTTTACTACATAAATAGAGAAGAGAACCTTACTTAGCCTCCGTTTGGGAAGTGGGTTGGTTTTTTGGCTTTTTGGCTTTTTTGGCTATTTTAGCCTGGGCTAAAAAGTTTGGTTTGGGAAGGGCTTTTTGGCTTTTTGACTTTTTTGGCTTTTTTTGTGAGAGAAGAATGTAATGATTATGGGTTGGATGTGATGTTTTGTTTTTTGTGGCTAAAATATCCTATTTTGTTTTTTGTGGCTAAAATAGCCAAAAAAGCCCCGTTTAGCTCTTGCCAAATGGAGGCTTAGGGTTCAAAACCAAAGCCAGAGCCAGGACCAGAGAAGAACCAAAAATTTCTTAGACAGAATGAATAGTTACAACCTGATAGATTTGGGCTGTACTGGGCCCAGGTTAACTTGGACAAACAACAAGAAATGGTAGGCAAATACCATGGTAAGGTTAGATAGAGTTATGTGCAATACAGAATGGAGTTCCACCTTTCCTGAAAGTCTGGTTCAAAATTTATCTCGTACCTACTCTGATCATTCACCTCTGATGATTTTCACCCAAGGCAAGGCTTCTCCCACTCCTGGATGTAAATTCTTTAAATTTATTGCTGCTTGGATTTCTCATGATGAATTTCAGTCTGTGGTGGAGAGCAATTGGGCAAACTCACCCCTCTCTCTTATGGATAAACTAAAGAAACTAGCTTTTAAGGCTAACGAGTGGAATAAAGAAAAGTTTGGAAATATTTTCAGAAATAAGAGGTAGTTGCTGGAGAGAAATGAGGGCATTCAGAAATCCCAAAATTATAATTATTCCCACAACCTCCATCTTCTGGAGATAGATCTCATTGAGTAGTATAATAAAATTCTCCATCAAGAGGAGCAACTGTGGTTTCAAAAGTCTAGATCCAACTGAATTATACCCAGCAGGATAGAAACACCAAGTTCTTCCACCTTTCCACCTTGACCAAAATGAGGAAATGCAAAATTGAGACTCTCAAGAATGAAAGTGGTATTTGGATTGATAATATTGATGCTTTGAAATCCATGATTTTTGATTATTTTGTGGAACATTTTAATGGTACTCCAACTATTCAACTTGATCATTGGAATAACCTCACTCCTGGTTTGATTAGACAGGACAGGAAGATAATGATAAGTAGTCTAGGAAGATTTCTAGTGATGAAATCTCCATTTCTGATGCCGCATCCCCTCTGCAACAATCCTTCGATGACCCCCTTCCTTCCAAATCACCATCGCAATTCCATTTCCTTTCCTTCACCCCCTGCAGCCTCCATCCCTGACCACACTTTTCCTGTAGTGAGAGATAAAAAGAAAAAATAGGTGCACATGGAAAAGAGGAAGAGAGAGATCAATTGATCTGGGTTTTTCTGATAATGCAACGATAGTGATGGCGGTGCAACTTTGATGCTGCAATTGGAGAGGAGAGATCTGGATTTTTCATATTTGGACTGCGATAATGATGGCGAGATGCTGTGCAAATGGGGAAAGAGGACATAGTTGATGTAGAAAACGGCTAGAGGGACAACAGCTACGGGTTCACGATCATAGTGTTGAGTATATTTTATTGTTTGCATTAACTTACAAAAAAATTTAAAATAATAATTATTGCTATATGTTTCTAGGAGTGGCAACGGGGCGGGGCGGGGCCGGGGATCACCCTCCCCGTCCCCGATCCCTGATGGTCAAATTTTTCCCGGCCCCGGCCCCGATCCCCGACGGGGAATTTATCAGTACCCCCACCCCCGCCCCCAACGGGGCTCGGGTTTCCCCGACCCTGAGCATTCCCCGGCTATAAAAAAAAAAAAATTCAGAAAATACTACAACAACACCATCATCCAAGACAGATCTGAAACAGATCTAAAAACAAAAACAAAAAAAATTGTGAAACAGATCTGGAAAAAAAAAATTCAGAAAATACAACATCATCATCCGAGACAGATCAGACCTGAAACAGATCTAAAAAAAAAAATGAAACAGATCTGAGACAGATCTGAAACAGATCTGAAAAAAAAAATTCAAAAAATACAACAACATCATCATCCGAGACAGATGAGATCTGAAACAGATCTAAAATAAAAAAAATGTGAAACAGATCTGAAAAAAAAAAAATCTGATCTGTGAGCAGCGGTGGTGGTCGGCGACGTCGAGAAAGGAGGGAGTGCATGAGAGATGCTGTGTGGTGGCGATGGATTTGAGAGAGAGACAGAGAACTCAGTGAACCAGAGGAAGATGAGAGACAGAGACGAGGTAGTCCAGAGAGAGACAAGATCTGAGGTGAAAAAGGTAAAGGCAGTGGTTTATATCTAAGGTAAAGTCAGTGGTATATCAAAAAAATAAAAAAAAGGTAAAGTTAGTGGTTATATATATATATATATAAGGGTACACACACACGATACTTTTGTACTTAATTTCAATATAATAAAATAAATATTCATTTTAATATTAGAAATAATGATTAAATTAGAGAGAAAAAAAGTCATTTAAAACTAAAGAATGATTCTAATTATTTATTTTGATAATTTTAACCCTATCGTTCTATAAAA